TTCTTTCAATTTCAATTATGCCAATTTTAATTACGCAATTTTAGTTAGGTTTTCAATTCAATGGCAATTGATTAAATTCTTGCCATTGAATCGTAGTGACAATTGATTAAATTCTTGTCATTACTTGGCTGATGGCAATTGATTAAATTCTTGCTATCACGTTTCAGTGGCGATCGATTAAATTCTTGCCATTGTGTTTGGCTGATGGCGATTGATTAAGTTCTCGCCATCACGTTCGGCCGGCGATCGATTAAGTTCTTGCCGCCTGTCTTCACTCGGCCATTCCATCCATTCAAACATTCATCAGCCGTTGCATTTCTTTAGACACTCTAAAAAGTCCTTGCTACAAACAAGGCATAAAAGAACCTTGCTGGGAGTTCTTACTAGTCTCTCTCCCACACAATCGCCTGAGAGTCAGCCATCGGAAAAAGGGATAGGCTGGTGTTCAATTACATATTTTGGGTATTTTGTACAAATACTCTGGCACGCCCGCGAAGAGTCCATCGACCGGCGTAAGGAACAAAAACCGCGTGAACACAAACCAAGGGAAGGGGATGATAGGTCCAATGTAGCTCAGCTTAAAGATTTTTTTATATTTCATCCTCCTGTGACACAAGATTTCAAACAGCTGAAGAAACAATCCATTCTTTTGAGTTTCATCGTACATTATATCCTTCGTGCTTTGAGAACCAGTGATAACGAAAGAAAGGAACTTTAAAGCAATTGATGGATATTGAATACCATCTCATGTTAACCGAGTTCTTCCTTGTGTAATTCATTAAATTGTAACTGTATTGTCTCTGACTTGAGAGAGAGAGCAGAAAATTCGCAATTGAAATATAGATTATTTATTTATTTTGCTTGATAGGAACAGTAGAAATCTTCAAATCTATTGGAGTATACCTGATTCTATATTCAGGAAGAGATTAGCTTATTTTCTGGCTTCCGCTGATATTTTCCATGCGCTTGTGGATTTCTTTGATGGTGCATGATTACTATTTGGTTTGGGTTGTTCTTTGGATTGTGCTACTTTGGTTCCATGAATACTCTTTGAATTGTTTAGCTGCTTATTGTTATGGAGACTGCTCTGCTGTGTTGGGTCTAGTTCAGTTTGTTTCTTTCTTGATCTCTGTAGCTTGTATTTTTTTAATGTATTTTCTGTCCTCTTCCTTGTTTGATTGTGTAGAATGTTAGCTTATGTTTGTAATTCTCTTTATTTAATTAAACTTGGTTACAAAGAAATAAAATAAATTATATTTGTGTTGTCTTACTACCGACTATTTTGAAGGATATAACCTTAATATTTCTTTTCCTTTTCCTGTCCCCCTCTGACTGAGACACCTATCCTAAAAGGATATGATGGTTGTTGGATTGCACGGGTCTTAAAATCTCATCATTTGTCAAAATTTTATTAGGTTTTTGTGTTGGCAAATTTCATTGTCAAAATTTGTTGATATGGGTTGTAATTTTTTTTTTTAGCTCGAGTCTCCATCTTTTAGAGCTCAGGTGTCTTGATATTGTTAGATTGGATGAAACATCAATTTGGAAAGATAAGTGACAACTTAATATTTCGTGTTTGGTGCTGTAAGACTTAGGAAAAATGAATTTTTATTGAAAATTTTGATGTCTTGAAATGTCCAACAGGTTGAACTTTAAATCCAATGGGTTGAACTTTTACGGAATGTGTTTCAAAAGAATTTTTCCAACTCCGGTTGAACTTTAAATCCAACTGGTTGAACTTTCGTGATACCCTCTCTGTAAAAGTCCAACCGGTTAAACTTTATTTCTAACTAGTTGCACTTTGCTGAATGTGCATGATTTCAGTTTTTGGTAACTTTTTAGTTTTCTTTTTGCACCAAAAATCTTTAAAAAAAAAATCCCTGAACGATTTTAAAATATCTTTCCATATCTTTTGAGAACTCTCTAGTCTCTATAAATCTCTGGATCCTCCAGCCCTAAATGAGTTTTGATGTAACAATTGGGGAAAACATAGATTAATTTGTAGATCGTTGATGGAGCTTTTTAAGAGAGATTTTAAGAGAAATTTGATTTGATATTTTTTAGAGTACACACTTAAACACGAGAGTGATTTAGGGTGATGCTTTTCATATAAATTAATTGTTTGTCTAACTTTTCTTCTAACTAATATATATAGGATTGTGGAGAAACGTTTGTGCTTCAATCCCCCTTTAACATCGAGAAAAATTTGGTATCCGAAAAGAAGGAACAACACAAAATGTCCTAGTTGCTCTCCATCTTTTTTTCTTTTACTTTACATACATACTTGCTGGTTGGGAAGGATCTGCATATGATTCTTATATTCTAAGTATGCTGTTTCGAGGAAAAGATGGCTCTTGCAAGTCCTTGAAGGTAATGTTTTAACTTTGGGTTATTTGTTAGAGTATAATCATGAATGAGAAATTAATCATAACGATTTATCAATTAATTTGTAGGTAAATACTATCTTGTTCATTCGGCTACCACATTCGAAATGGATTTATTCCCTCATATCGTGGCGTTCGATATCATTTGAAAGAATATAGTAACCGTCCTCCGAAAAATGAAAGTGAGTTGTTTGATCTTCTCCACTCTTCCTTACGAACCTCCATTGAACATGTTTTGGTGTAGTAAAGAAACACTTTTGTCTGCTTGATGCTGAACCTTTTTTGGACTATCGAATTCATGTTAATGTGGTACTTGCATAGTGTATCTTGCACAACCACATAATGGGAGTTGATCAAAATGACGGGATTATGTAAGATACCAACGATGAGTTTCAAATCTAAAAGCAAAAACTCCAACAAACAAAAAGAGAAGAGAGGGAAGAAGTAGAGAGTAAGCAATTAGAAGGGATGCCATAGCCCATTCTAGGTATGACGACTATATAAATTAAAAAAAAATATATCTTAAAATTTTTTAAAGATCATTTACTAGTGTTGTGGTTGGGTGCTTTGCTTAGTGCAAAGGATGGTTGTATGTAGTCATTTAGCAGTATTGTGGTTGGTTACTTGTAGTCATGTAATGTTCCCCTTATTTTTTGGGCTAAAGAATTGTTAGAGAAACCACTTTGGGCCCATCCATTTCCTCTGTTATCAATCATCATACTTGTTTTCAATTTTTTTTTTTTTTTTTTTTTTTTTCTTCGTAATTTGAATGTGTATAGTGATAATTATGTGTGTCCATTCTTCCTGAAGCAAACGTGGTTGAAGGTTCGTCATTGTTAAACATTAATTATTTGACCCTTTCATTGTTTTTAGTTTCTGTTTTCTCTTGTATTGGAAGTGGTACTACTTTCCAAAACTTTTTTTGTTTCTTTAATTTGTTTTTATTAACATATTTTTTGTATCTTCAATTTGTTTTTATCAATTTTTATTTATTTATTTATTTATTGTCATCAGCTAGTGATTAGCCCGTACTACTACTTTCCAAAACTTCAAGAGTTGATATAAGAGGAAGAAAAAATCAATGGAGAAACTTAGTTCACTTGTTGCATCGGATGATCTTGGGTGTTGTTCGTATGCAACAAAGAAAAGTCGCAACATATGGCTCCCATTAATTGAAGCCACACGGACGTTATCCTACCCACGACTTGGAATTGGCTGTCGTTATCTTTGCTCTCAATATATGGAGGTGTTACTTATGTGCTGCGAAATTAAGTCTACTCCGATCACAAATTTAAAGTCGGAGATTACAAAAGTTTGAAGTATCTAGTCACAAAATGGAAATTGAATCAACGACAACATGGATGGATAGAGTACCTTGAAGATTACGACTTTACATTACAGTATCACTCGAGAAAAGCAAATGTGGTAGCTGATACTTTGAGTCGGAACAAACAAACTGCAAACTACTTGGGATCTGCATGTCAAAGCATGGGAAATACAAGAGGTAATTGAAGATTCTAGTCTGCACTTAGGAAGAAGGGATGGATCAGCCTATGTGTTTGCTTTGGTAATCCAACCTACACTTCTTCAAGGAATCATTGATGCTCAGCATCAAGACAAGGAATTGGAAGCCATTAGAGATCATCGTTGGAAGCTTAGAGTGAACTATGTGTTGAGAAGATCGTTTGTCTCCACGACATTCCTTTATCAATTCTATCTGATAGAGATCCACGCTGCACCTCCAAATTCTGAAAAGGATTGCAACATGCTATGGGAATAAAGTTAAATCTCAACACTACATTTCATTCAGGCACCAACCTATGCAAGGCTAAGTGGGGGCAATTGCCCCACTGAAATTTTCATTTTTGGTTTTATATGTCTAAATTATTTTATTTTATTTTATTTTATTTTGTCATATTTGCATTACATACCTATAAAATTTTAATATTGTCCCCACTGCAATTATATAAAAAGTTCACTAATGCCCAATTTTTTTTTTATATTTTCATTTTGTTAAAAGCCGCCCCCTCTACATAATTTTTTGGGTTGGTCCCTGATTTCATCCACGGTTGGTTCGGTTTCCTTATCATTTGTCAAAAATCAATTGATCGATCATTTTTTTGATATTTTCTTGTCAAATAATTATCATTGTTCGAATAAAAATAATTAGACTAAAGGATAATCAATGGCTCAAATAAAAGCTTTAATTTTCATTTTAAAATACATTTAGAAGCCAAACACAAAAAATTATTTTTAGGACCTTTGTCAAACACTCAAAAATAAAAATAAAAATGATATTTTACCTAAAGAAGTTCTATATAAAAAAAATTATTTTCTTGGAAGGTATTTTATGTCAAAATAAACCTTCATGAAAAAGAAATTTCAAAAGGGAGACTTATTGGCCTTAATTGTAAAAGTACATGACTTATATATCTTTTAAAACAAAAAGTAAAACTTGGTGGTAATTTCATTAGTATCCATCAGCTACCTAAGTACCTTCTCTTGGTTACTACTACAGAAGAAAAAAGAAAGAAATAACGAACGAACGGAAAACATAAATGAAGGACACGTAATGTGGTAGAAACTAGGAACACATTTCTGGTGCTTGATCATTGGCTACGAGAGGCTGATGGAACGTGAAAAGCAGTTGAACTCCGACCATAGTGTATTATGTCCTTCCCAAAATTGGTTTTCTCCTTTAACTGAAGCTAGGCTCTCCTCATATACAAAAACCTCAAGGCTATAGTTATCTCCGCCAGGTTCAAAGTACTTAATTTCTTGGGTGTTAGGGCTGTAAATCACCAACTGTGAAGTGTCATTATCGAAAATGAACTTTCCATTTTTTGAGCAACCAAGCAGTCTATCGACATTTGATAAGGGTCCGATAATTAATTGTTCGGTCCAATATCCTTCCTCTATCATCATCCATATGTCAACTTGCTTCTCTACCTCACGAGGATCATAAAGCAGCAGAGCAATAGATTCATTGTACAAGGCAAGAGCGCCAAATTGTGAATTATTAATTTCTAGTGGTGCCAATATCCTTTGAAAAGCCTCGTTTTCCATGTCAAACGAAAGGACCAAATAGTTATTATCATTTCCCTTAATTAGCCAGTAATAACGTCCATTTATGCATGTGTTGCCTAAAGTCTCTTGTATGTAATCATCGGGGCATAAATCAGCTTCAACTAGTTTCCAAGAATCAATACCTAGGTTATACACTGAAACAACTGCATGATCATATGGGCAATCAGTTTTTTCATCCCAAAGATACTGAATCCAGATCACCTTGTAGTTATTGGTTACTAGGTCTAACCCAAATCCATAATGATTATTGTAAGCCTTGGTATAGGGTGGGAGGACGGGATCGGATACCGGGAGAGGTTTAAATTCTCTTGTAGTGGGGTTCCACAATGCTATTTGACACCCATCACAAATACACAGTATACCGTTAAATGAGTCAATAACAGATGGACGTTTGGGCGTATGAGGATCCTCAATATCATGATAAACAATAGGCATGTTGGTAAGCATTTGAAGACGCAATAGAGCTAAAGCATATCTACTGGTGCTATAGTGGTACCGTTGAATGAGGAGATAGGCCTTGCGGTTTTGGTGATGGAGGTGCTTGCTAATGAAATTGGAGTTTTTGATAAGGTCGCGCCAATATCTACACACACATTTAAACCGCAATAATGATTTGACAGACAGCCTCAAGAGAATCTCAAGTACCGTGTCCTCTTGCATATGATGAACATAACTCTTGTTTCTCATTATTACACGTGTTGCTAATCAAGTCTTTAATTATTTTGATTCATATTTTGAATCAATTCATTTTATGCTGATGCAACAAACAGAATACTAAAAGAACAAACCCATGAGAAATATTTGATGATAAAGGACAGTATAAAAATAACAAGCAAGATAAAAGAAAAGAACAAAAACGAACTCAACTCACAACCTCACAACTCCAAAGTTAATACAAATTCATATACAATGAATCAATAATAGAATATAACAGAGAAAAATGAAAAGGTTAAATTTTCTTTTTTCGTTCCGCCTTAAGGCCGTATTCCCCGTCAACGACTCAACTGTGGACGTGTAGAATATATATATATATATATATATCAACATATATTATATGGAGTATATAAGAAAAATTAAGAACAAGACGAATAAAAAGAAAAGCAAAATCACAGAAAAGTAATGAAGTATTAAAGGGGAAAAAAAATTAGTACAGAAGAGGAATGAAGGACAGACGGAGCTTTTATTGAGACCAGAATGTAGTGAGAAATAATTGAAGGCAATTTGATCTGAGAGATGAGAGTTCCTCTCTAAAATGTTTGCAAGCAACTCGGTTTTTCCCTTTGAAAAAATGGACGAAGGATCTAAGGATGCGCTTGGTGAAATTAATTCTATAACGGCCTTCAAAAATTATGGTCCAAATAGAACATCATAAGCAATCCATTTGGAAGCCATATTGTGGGGTCAAATTAAAGACCCAAAATTCAGGGAGTCAAAGCTTCCAAACCATGTTACAACTGATTTTACGCGTACAAATTTGTTTTTGTGCAGAAAATCAAGCAAATTCTTCATTTGGTGGAGCTTACATTAAATTCACATAAAGGAAAAATTATACTGTACGCAGGGGTGCCGCATCATTGAGCTATATGGTAACCCCAACAAACTATAATTGGACATGGTAAACTAATTAAAAAGGTCCACGTCATTCCATAATGTAACTGACGGTGGTGTTAACTCAGTATGAAATTTGATGTTGAAAAATAAATTTGATTTTGTTATTTACTATTTTAAAGAGCTTGTCGTACATTTGCGTGCATTTAATGTTAGCGGTAGTAAATGATTTTAATGGAAATTAGTTAATGACAATTAATTTTAATGGAAATTAGTTAATGACAATTAGTGTGAGGTTAAAGGTTACAAAAAATCTAGAGGCAATGGGAGTTGTACCTACTAAATACCATAATAGTGGGAGTTAAGCTAAATGTTATGTTAGTGTGAGTAATTGGACACTTCATTGTAATTGTTACACATATGTTCTCTAGGCCTATATATTCATGTACTTTAGCCAACTATGAGAAGAATTTGGGATTAAGTGAAATAACATATTTCTTCCTCCATTTCTCTTCCAAATTATATTGAGTTTTATTTGTTTATCTAGCCACTTAGTTTCAATAAAGTGGTATCAGAGCAAAGTTAGAAAGTGGTATTAGAGCAAAAGCCAATAAGGTGGTATCAAAGTCAGGTCAGGATAAGAGCCTAAATGATCCTGAAGGCCTAACGGGGTTGATCCTAGAAAGTTCAACGTTTTGAGAATAACACGTTTCTCCTTGATGATGATGAAGATGAGAAAATGTATTTTCTTAGTGAGAAGATAATGTTCGATCTCTAATTACAAGAGAATGAGAATCATCATGACTTCATATCTCATACCATGTGATTTGTGGGATCACTACAACAGTTATGGCTTTTACCAACGCTCAAAAACGCCAGTAAAAGTCCCAAAAAATGCTGATAATTCAATTACCAGCATTTTATTAGCGCTTTTGAAAAACGCTGGTAAATCCAGTGTTGGTAGGGCTTTACCAGCGCTTCTTCAAAAGCGCTGGTATAGACCCTTTACCAGCGCTTTTTGAGAAGCGCTGGTATAGGGTCTTTACCAGCGCTTTTTTAAGAAGCGCTGGTAAAAGGTCATTTTTTTTTTTTTTTTTTTTTTTTTTTTCCTCCTTGCCAGCGCTTCTTAAAGAAGCCCGGGTAAAGGCACATTTTTATTTTTAATTTTTAATTTTTTTTATTTTTTACCCTTTATTGTTTTTGAAAAATGTCTTGGTTGCTAAATGTCATCCAATATAACACAAGTTGGCAATATAAAAGTGCAATCCAAATTGTTTTTACATATTACAACCACAAGTTAACCTGCTGCCAATATGAAAAATACCATCGAAATTGTTTACTAATAGATAAAGCTGGTAAATGTCAACCAAAACTCAAAAAATGTCTACTAATACAACTACAAGTTAACCTGTCAATATGAAAATACCATCCAAATTATCTAGATCTACTAAATGTGACAAAAAAAGAATTAAGAATTTTTGACAAATGTAGTACAAGTTTTTCAAAAAGAACTCATCCAAGGCAAAGGAAATGCTGAAAGCACAGCCACAACCCCATCTTCAGCTTCAACTTCAACTTTAACAACTTTTCTTGCCCATTTGATTTGAATTACCCTACATTTTTTATAAATTCATTAAGCGTACATTATAATAAATGAAAATTTAACATATAAGAGAAATTAAAGTTCATAACTTTAACTAAATTGGCATCATGACTAGAAAATGAATATATACAACACAAGAACATGCACAAAACCTTTTACATACTAAATTATATATAAGACAGTAATTTTCAAGTTCTGCTAAACTGCTATAAGAAATACTAGCAGCAAAGTCATGTTCGTTAGAACCTAAGAATAATCACTCATATGAAGAGAATTTAGGAGATAAACAACGCACGCGTGTGTGTGTGTGTGTGTGATAGATTTTATAATAGTAACAATATGAAACAAGATTTCCCTAAAAGAATGATAATGTGGTGAATCATAGCATTTACAATAATAATTCTCCAAAGGATTAAAATTAGTTGTGGGAACTATAGTTATTATTAATTTTGCAAATAATCTATAGTAATTAGTGATTTGAAGAGACAATGCATGTTTTGTATTTTGTTTTTGTTTGGATCTATGCTATTTATCAACTATGGTGAGTCACTGGTTTCCTAAAAAAGAGGCAGAAGTTGTTACTACAACCTAGATGATAGAACGTAAACCTTTTCTATAACTGATTCGTTAAAAATCTGATTTTCAAATTACTATAACAAAAATTTGTACTCTTATGAGGTTTAAGTAAAACTGTTAGGAGTAGTAACATATATTTCTATTTAAAATGATGTAGTTCAGGCCGAACTCAGAAGATGCATCCGTCTAGATTATCTAAGGCATTCTCCTTAAATGCATATAACGTATTGTACAAATTTATCAACTTTAGCCTAGACATGTTTGAGATGTAAAAAGACGGTACAATAAGATAGAAAGAAGTACACCAAAATGGACACATCTTCCTCTGTCCCACTGTCATTTTCCACAGGATCTAATGGGAGTTCTCCACTGTTCGATTCAATCTTCTTGATAAACTTTGTTGAGTATAATATCACCCCAAATCTCATAGGAAAACTAATCTCATACAAAGAAATAATCGTGTCAATTGCATGCAAAAGACAGTGAAACTAAAATTAGATAAGTAATTCTGGCAACAGTATAATGCACATACAACGAACTGACGTCACTTTTTACACAATAAAACTTGCCTCAAGTCCACAAATGGATATAGGATCCACAACAAAAACTGTATGGAACAAGTTCTTATGAATATAACGTAGTTGCCCAGGGAATACCGGCATCAAAATCTACAACACCAAAGTAAAAAGATAGAAACGCTTTTTTCAAAAGAATGCAAATTAGTGCATGAAGTCGTCTAAAGTAAATAATAGAATTGAATACATCCATGTGAAAGATAAACACACCTCATTTATATTACTATGCCAACGATTGTACATTGCATCCACCTCCAAAACCACCATTGGTTATCAAAACACGAAAGCTCTACTATGAAGATGTATTCTACTCATAAGAGTTTAGTGTATCTAGGTTACTTAATCAGATGCCAATCTATAAGATAGTTAAAATTTTAATTCTAGGCTTCTATCTCTTTTGTGCATAAGAAAACCCGTGAACTATAAGGAGGTTGTGTGTAAGGTAGTCCCCAGAGCTCAGATAAAGGAGAAAGGCAGCCTACAGGAAACCTTTCATTTTTTTTATGTAAGTTGAACCTGGAAAGGAAAGAAAAATGACATTCCAATCCAGAGTAGTTAGGATTTGGTCTGTTGAGTTATAATTTTTAGTATCTCAAAACGCAAAAAGATCCTTTTGCGGTGTTATCTACAAAACTGAAAACCCTACATCCATATGATTAGTAATATATTACACCAAGATCATTCGAAGAAAACCTGGTACCAGCTACACAAAAAGATGGGGCAATTTTCCTTACTAGAATCTTCTGGTAACTTTCGCAGTTGATGTTCTTATTAGAATGTTGTGAGGGTAGAACAATTGGAGCTTGTATAACACCCCAATATACAAATATAAAATATTAGTTTCTTTCTTTTAGTAAGGGTTCTATAATCCCATCTCTGAATTGTTTGTGTTTGTGTTTGGGCTATGAAGATAAAACCAAAGTATTCCGAGGAAAGTTACTAGGTCCTTAGGTTGTGATATCTGAGGTTGGCTGCTTAAGTATCTTGGTCTTCCTTTGAGAGTGAAGAGGGAAAAGTCTTTTGGGGTCCAGCAGTGGAAAATGTGCCAAGTACTTAGAAGGATGAAAGAAGGTATACATTTAACTGGGAATAAAATCACTGTAATCTAGATCTCTTACTAGCATATCCCTACCTACCTTAATTTACAATTACTCAACTCTTGCAGCCAAACTAGAAAGCCTTCAAAGAAAGGAGTAGGAAAGCATACTAGGTGTCATGAAGGTTCACAAAAAGAATAATACTTTCACTTAAGGCCAGTCATAGTGGGTATGCTTTTAAGGCTGAAATTTATCTTTGTTAGAAGGTACTCAAAAAGCTCAAGTGTTGGGATTAATCAATCTTTGTGTTCTAGATGGTTTATCCTTTACAGAGCAGGTGATAAACTACAGTCAGGATCTAAGAGGAAAAGTCTTCTAAATGCACAAATTTTGTTAGAAATTCATAATATCATATGCTGTCACTGTATCTTACTTATCAAAAGAAAAATATTTTGTCACTGTATCCTATGTGCTAGTCACAATCGATTATCAGCATAATTAAAAATTAAAAAATAAACAATTTTTCATCACAGTTAAGAAATTTTGACCTTACACAAGTCACTTGTCTTTCTAATTTTCTTGAACTGGGATGAGATTTCTTAGAACATTTTGTTTGGAATCAAATTGCTCACATTTGGATTAGACTTAATACTTTTCATAGCCCACTAGCAAGCAGTATTAGGATTAAATCTACTGCTTATAACCAAGTAAGATTTCATATTCTTATATTTAATTTTCCCATTGTGAGGTTGGGGTTGTATAGACCAAGCAATATGTATATATAGAGACAGGGAGATAGGGAGATATAAGATGAAGACATGGCGTATGATGATGAAACGACATTTTACAGTTTCTTCATAATTTATTTTCAGACAAGAAGATTCTCCTACTCGGAAAACAATAGCAATTATGGGTCACAGGTCACAACTATGTTTCACTAAAATGTGATACAGAATATTTAGATAGTAAAAAATTCAAATGTTTTCAGATAAAGGATCAGCAATTTAAGTAGTAATAAAAACAACTAAAGCATCAAAGCCACTGTAACATGGTATCACAATTTGGGTAAAAGTAAAGTGACTTTTTCAGGAACAAACAGACCAGAATTTTAGAGAATATGAACCCTCTAACTTCTTGACTGAGATCTTCAATGTGAGGATCTTCAAAAGTGACACCTGCACCACATACATCATTTTCTTAAAGAAACTAATCTTAATGAAAAACCCAGTAGTACAAAATGGAAGTGCCTTACTTCTATGGCAATATAACAGTTCAGAAAACCCAAAAAAGTTATATAACATTCCTTATCCATAAACCAAACTGAAAATTAGAATAATAGAAAGCTAAAACAGAATTGCACAAATAAAAAAAATAAAAAATGCAAGAATGCAAAATTTACTTGCAAAGCGTATGTAATAAACCAAGAAAAATATAATATCTCATCTTTTAGACCCATCATGTACTGACCCTCTTTTATTTTCTGCTCCTGAAGCATTAGAATAAAAAATGAGCTCAGCCCAAAAGTTTTTATAAGAAAGGACTACTCCAATTTTGATATTTCAGAGATGAGAAAGACATCAATGTATGCAAAAATGTACAAAAATAAAAGAGACTAGGAACATTATGAGCCCATGATTAATAATGTATTAAACCCATTACCAAACCTTCTCGAACACAGAATAGCTTGCGCATAAAAAAATAATGAATTTAATAAAATTAAAAATAAAATAAAAACTAGAGAGATTATTTGGTGATAGATACAACATGGGCAATAATGAATTTTAAAAAATAAATGATACATACGGCAACCCCATAGGCAATTCTTCCACAATTAGAAATATATATATATATATATATATAGAAGTCTAAATCAAAATGTCCAATGAACATAATCATCAACATAACACCAAGATAGAGATTTTTTGACACAATTACAACAAACAAGAACATACCTGAATGAAAATAAAAAGAATCCCCAAGAAATAGAGAAGTGTAGCTGTAATCTGAACCACGGGGACGGCGAACTCGACGAGGCCGAGTTGGACGTCGAATTCCATCAACGGCATCCAGTAATCGATGCCGGCGAGATGAGCAAGGAGATTATGAACGTTCACAAAGATTATGAGAGCTAAGCCTATAAGTAGAAGAACCAAACCCGATTTCGGCTCGCTGGAGAGCTGAGCCGCGAAGCCATAGAGAAGAACAATGGTGGCAAACACGTATAGGCCGGCGTTCATGTACTCGAACCGATTTCGAGCCAGCTGGGGTCTATATATCTGACTCTCTCGGGCCGATACAAGCTTCACCATTCTGATCAATCAAGACTGGTATGGTATAGGTATGTAGAGAGAGAAAGTGAGAAAAGTGACAGAGAGATTGGAGGCAGAGTTGCTAAAAGAGAGGGGCGGTTGAGGAGAAGGGGCACGTGTCATCACGATTAGGGAGTTGCAGAGAGAGAGAGGGAGAGGGCGCAAGTTCAGAGTTGAGACCGAGAATAGAGATGGAGGCAATTGGGGAGTTGGGGAGAGTGAGATTGAGGCGATTGGGGAGTTGCAGAGAAAGAGGGGGGTAAGTTTAGAGTTGAGACCAAGAATAGAGATTGAGACGATTGGGGAGGCTGAAGAGAAACTAGGGCTCGGATGAAATTGGTAAAGTTAGAAATAAAGTGAAATAATATTAGAGCACCAAATTTTCCCTCACTACATTTCGCACTTAGCAGCGTTTGTTTATAAAGCGCTGGTAATTAGTACTCAACACCAGCGCTTTTTTTAGAAACGCTGGTGTTGATAGTACTCAACCCCAGCACTTTTTAATGAAACGTTGGTAATTAATACTCAACACCAGCGCTTTTCTAAAAGCGCTGGTAATTAGTACTCAAGACCAGTGCTTTTTTTAAAAGCGCTGGTGAAACCCTAATATGTTGTAGTGGATGTTGTTGGAGAAAAGCCAAAGAATGGCATGTTCAACAAGTTTCGTGTGAAAAAAGAAGAAAAGGTATTTGTAGTGTTGCAAAAGGCAAAACATCAAGAAATTTGTGAGTATTTTGGAGAGTCCAAAACTCCAAGTTATGTTTAGAAGATGCTCGAGACCATCGTTTCCAATCATATAGGTGAATCACTACCCACAGAGTATTAGGTGCAATGCTTTAAGGATGATGAGTTTACTAAGGCTGATTATGAAAGTCATGAGGGCAAATTTGTGGAGCATGAAGAAGCGTACAATGTAAATGAAGTTGAAGAATTTGGATAACAACTCGAAATGGTGAATGAAGAAAATGTAAAGAGATGTGTTGGAAAGGAGATTGAAAAAGTGGAGGAGAATGAAGTTGAAAAAGAAGTTAAAGACGAAGAAAATAATAAAGAAGAGGGTAAAGTTGGTGAGTTAACATATTCAAGTAAGATTGTGAATTCCTCTTTCAAAGAAGTTATATTTGATGAATTTATGATTTCTTCGATCATATTCATCCCAATTGGTAAAAGAAATTAAAGACTATGATAATAGTGCTCATGTTGTGGAGAATTATGATATTGTCTTGAAGAAAGTTATTCCAATCAAGTGTGATAATGAAACTCAAGGTGATAAGAATTTCTTGTATTGTTTTTTACAAAATAGTTTGGAGAATTTTACAATTGCCACAAGTTGGGTGAATATGGAGTTATTTTTTTGACTCTAAAGAAGAAGCACGTATGAAGTTAAAAATGCATCATAAATTCAAGAAGAAAAAAGATGAATGGTGTGTTCATATAAAGAGGGTGATATATAATTATTTTGTGAAGGCATCAAACATGCATCTGAAGATGTTTCACAAGCCATACACATC